GCTTAAATTATTTCAAAGTTTTAACCAAAAAGAGAAAGAGAGAGACGAGGACTTGGAAGGGCTTCTTGGAGGCAGAGACAACGTTCTGAAAAGGAATCTCACCGGGAGAAAATTTTTAGAAATCTCAAATTTTAAACGAAATTACTTAATATTATTATTTATTTAAAATTAATTTAAAATAAATTAAATTCATCGAAATTCTACGCCATGCAAAAGATATCCTTTTCCAGAACACATCTTCAATATTTTCCCCTACATTTCCCCCCAGGCGTCCGACTGATTTTGGGTGTGTGTGTGGGGAATTTTCATTTTGGTTAGATTGGTTGTTTGGTTAGAGATAATGTCAACACACACACACAGTTTATGAATAAACCTACGAGTATGAGCCCCTGTGGCGAATAATTCATTCGCAGAGACCAGTCCAGTCCAGTCGTCTGTCAATTCGTATTAATAACAAAACAGAAGGGCAAAAAAGCCACAATAACAACAACAAAAAAACCTGCATTAAATATATATTTGTTTTTGTGTAAAATATTTACACAGTTAATATGAAAGTATTTTTAATAAACTTTAATTACCAGCGAAATGATTTTGTTATTGTTGTTCTTGCTGTTGCTGTGCGGTTTTTTTATTTAAATATTTATGGTATTATCAGGGGCTGACAAAAAACAGATATTCAGATGATTTATACATATATATATGAGGTTTAGTGGTGGAAAAGATTGTGCACAATTAAAGCTAGCGCTTGTAGTTAATCTGAGTGCTAAAGCGTTTGTTAATGAGACCAATCACACCCACAGAAAAACACAGAAAAAAAATTACAGTAGAAATCATGGGAACTACTGGATAACCTTGTGGCCGGAAAGACAGGTTGTTTCTCAGATCCAAACACTGGACCAACTGCAACTATGGAGACCACTCTCAGCCTTGAGGCCGGAGCTTTGTCTATTGGAAAAACACGTTTTCCACGTTGCATCACACAAAGACAAGACATTTGCATGTCAGGGACAGTGCGGCGGCTGACAACTCTGCAACGGCAACTCGTTTTGGCTTGAAGTTTCGTTATGTACAAAATGTTGCATTCAGTTTTTTGTTTGTTTTTTGTTTGTTTAAAAACGCTTAATTGCCTCAAAATCTATTCAATGCTTTTTCAACTGTAAACCTAATGCAAACAAAGCACAAAATTCAATTAACAAACAAAACTGAAAGTCAAGCAAAAGATGAAAGAAACAAAAATAATAAAGGGCAGCATATTAGGTGGCAAAGATTTAGATACTCTTCCTATAAATAGTGCATAGTTTCTTTGCAAAGTTTCTTAGCAATAAGAGAAAATAATAATTATTTATAATAATAATTATAATCATGGAATAATTTCTTCTCTGGCAGATAATCTTACTGTGAAAGATCTTTGGTTTCTATTGCATTCCCACAGATCATTGCATCGAAAAATAACAATATTTCATTTGTTTAGGCTTCCTTAGACGCCTAAATACTCTTCTTTCCCTGCATTATACTCTCTCAAAAGTCAAACCATTCTTCAAGTCCAAAGATTAGTTAAAAGTTTTCCATTTTTGTGCGAAAGTTTCTTTTTCTAGAACAAAATATTTTCTGCAATGGTCAGCACACAATATTTTATGCTTAAATTAGCAAAGCATTTCAAATGTGCCAAACACGTTGGCCAAGACAGGCAGAGAGAGAGAGATGAGAGAGAGAGATAGAGACAGAAACAATTAGCCGTAGAAATAATGAATTCCAAAGAACTTTGCTCTCCTCTCTTTCTCTCTCTCTCAGCTCCGCTCCGAAATGGCAACACACACATTTTTGTGGGTCAGCAACAAGTCGCTGCTGAGTCAGAGACAGACACATCGACCCCTCCCCAAAAAGTTTAAAGAGGGTTTCCAAAGAGAGTTCAAAGACACGCAGAACCGTTAAAACAAAACCGTTAACGGTAAAAGAGTACAAACCGTTGACACATCGCATGAAAAAAAAAAACGAATTGCAAATAAAAAATAAAAATACAAAAAACATATTTAGCATACAAATTAGTTTTCGCATATTAATTATGCAATTAAACAGTGGGCAGGCATGTATAATGTACATATGGGGTATTCATGAAACAACGTACTGTACTGAATGAATGTCACATTGGATTTTGCCAGCGTTAATTGTGCGGATCATTGAAGCGGAAGGCAATCGAATCCCCGGTTAAAGAGGCAGGTGGAGAGAGCATTCAATTAATTTGCAAATGAATTGATGAATGAATTACGATTATTATGCTGCAAATATTATGGGATATGGAGAATCGGTTGCATTAAGGTGACGTGTGTAAATGGAGCAGGTATTTCTGTGGAGATATAACGCGTAGAAAAATGAGAGAAATTTGTGTATAGATTCAAAGAATTTTTCTTGAAATTTATGTGGACCAAAAAGCGCCTATAATTATTTATTTTTATTATTTATTATTATTATTATTATTATTTAGGCATGAATGGTAACAGAATGATCCAAAAACAGTCATATTTATGACTCAAACTCTGAATTAAAGTGGCTTTAAAATCTATATATAAAATACTTGAAGAATATTAATTCTTTGTCATAGTCCTTTATTTTTCTCATTAATTTTGAGTAAAAATCCCATCAAGCAGCACACTTGTATTTCCCTGTATTTCCTTTAAGCTCTTCCCTTCAATTAAATTCTCTTCTTAAATACAAGCGACAGTCAGCAGACACTCCCCCACCCCACAGCCATCCTCCTGTGGGGGGATGTCAACACCAATAGGGATCAATAGCCTCTCCACCCTCCTCCAACCAACAGAATAAATATTCTCGTATTTTCCTGTGTGGCACAACAACAATAATTAATTGATTTTGTTGGCGGAGCAACACATAAAATTAATGTCAATTTCGTTAACATTTACAAGGACGCATTGTTATTTGTGTGGCACAAAGGAGGGGGCGGGGAGCAAGAGAGCCCTGCCCCGAGGACGCCATTTTGTGATTTCCCAGCCATTTGTCAAATTTTCTACGAGACATAGAACCAGCCCCATCCCCTTCTTAGAGCTGGCAAAAATAGCACATAAATTATGAGAACCAAAACCACAGATCAATTTATTTTGTGGCCAAAATACAAGTCTCTCCTGCGTTGCTTCTCCTGTGCCACATCCTGGGGAAGGCAACTGTCAACGCAAAAGGAGCAGAAAAAACAATTAAAACCCCATTCCCAGACATCTTTTATGCGAAACGGCGTCTCCGGCAGCGCCACTCCCCTCCATCGTTCCAGCTGCCATCTTCCATCTCGTACTATCGCATGGGCTAGACTTTTATCTACCTTTCGGTTGATTCTGATTTCTGATTCTGTTTCTGATTTTGGCTAAAGCGAAAGAACTCCTTCTGCAGGTCTGTCTGCATAATTTTTGTGGTTTTGCGGCGTCTGCTTGATGATAAATGTTTTTGCAAATCGCTGGCGACACTTGGCGGCCATCCAGCCTGAAAGCACAAGCCCCAAAAGTAGGCAGCAATTTCAGGGTGCCTCCTCCTTCTTCCCGGTTTGTTTCCTCCAGACCAGACACTTTTTCTCCTGTATATTAATAACTGTCATTCGTGTGGGCTGCCGCTGTCATTGTCTCATCCTCCCACAACTAAGCTAAGTCACACTGGGAGAGAGAGAGAGAGGATAGGCCAGAGATTGTTCTTTGATATTTCTTTTCACTTTACTGTCTAGAAATTCATATGTCCTTTAAGGTTTTCGCCTTTGCCGCCTTTGCCGTTTTTTTCCATAATTCAATGGGGGCGTTGGATCCTTTGGTCTTAGGTTTAGGTGTGGCCCCAAAACAGGCGCGTGTGGCGCGTGTATATGAAAATTATGTTAATTTATACTCCTCTCTTGTGGTGTGGCACGAGTCGAAAGCTGTACCACCGGGGGTTTTCGCCCCCCCGCAGAGTGTCTGTTTGGGTTAACTTAATGTTCTAAGAGGTGTTTAGAGGGTATGCTGGACAAGGTTTGAGCTAGGGATCCAACTTAATATATGAAAAGATTTAATAAAGAGAAGCATTTGCTCTTTGAGGTGGATGATATCGATCCTCTACGATTATCAAAATAGATGAAATAGATGAAACATTTTCAAGCACAAGGTACAGGGTATCTCTTTAGTCAACTCTCTCAACGCCAAAATCCTCCTCGCTGAACATACATATTTTTTCCACGTCTGTTGCTCACATTTTGAGCTTGCGTGTGCGCTTCTTTTTATGCATTAAATTAGAAGGAAAGACAGCAGGCAGCAGGCAGTCAGCAGGAATATGTTATGCCTCGTGTCTTTTACCCTTTGCCAGAGAGACATTGCCTGTCATCGTCACACAATTTGTATAAGCTTCTTAAAGGGTTAAGGGCACAGAAAGCGAGAGAGTGAGTCCCCATGGACCATGGACCATGGACCACAAATTAATTTCGAGGCAGAAAACATGTTGCAACGAGTGCCGAGCATATATTTAATAAATTGCCAAGAGTGCAGAAGTGCAGTGCAGTGGCTGGCTGTGATTTTGTTGAATTTATGAGAATTATGGAACCGCAATATTTATCACATGTCCAGTGCCAACTTTGACGCTCACTCTCTCACACTCTGAAATGGTATATATACGTATATATGTACATATTGGGATATATGTATATATATGGAAACTGCATAAATTTCCATACAAACACACAGAGAGAGGAAGAGAGAGAGAGAGAAGCTTGGAGTCTTGGTCTGTTCGAAACTTCTGTGGTCTGGGTTTTAGGGCATTAATTATGATAATATTTCTTGGACTTTAATAAGCATTTGGCTCTTTCTCTACCTCTCTTGAAAGTGCTCGAATATGCAAACAATTTGCACTCCTGCCTCCACGTCTACAGTTCCATATCTGTGTGTGAGTGTGTGTGTGTGTGTGTGTGTGTGTGAGTGTGAGTGTGAGTGTGTGTGTGTGTGTGTGTGTGTGTGTGTGTCTGTGTGTACATGCCACTGAAGTGCATTGTCAGGTAATTACAATAAGACGCTTATAAGCGCCTCTCATCGAAAAGTATAGTGCCAAATGCAAGCACTCGTAATCAAGAGATATTCAGAGCGGCGGCCTTTGTCTCCGTTTTGCAATAATTAACTGGCAGAATGAGAATCGGATTGCAGCTGTCTGCTATCTGCTATGCAACCATTTGTTTATTGTACTTGTGTAGAAATCTGGCTGTCGGTTAAATAGCTCTACAGCATGTGTGGCATCCACTCATTTATTTGCCTTGTAAAAGGAGCCAAAATAATGTCTAGAATTTATGTTAATAATTTTCAAGAGGCAGCACTTAGTAGCATTGATTACGAAGACTTAAGTGCAGCTTTAGTTAAGCATATGGGAATTCTAGATATTTTAAGTCTTGAGGGAAATGTCGAGAGATTTTGAATTGAAACAATGGAATTTGTGACGAATTTTAATCATTTTCAAAGGGGAATGGTCCAAATAATTTGAATTTTAATTGAAGAGGGAATATATTGCAACTTCAATGATTTTGTTTAAAGATAGATAGAAATTCGTTTGATTTAAGTGTACATTCTATTAAAAGTCACATCCAAAGCAATCTCTGACATATTTTTTTTATTATTATTATTTTATTTTCCTTTGAAAATGTGGCTGTCATATATCTTGCCATTTCTGCTGCCTTTGGTTTCCATCAGTGGCGATATACCCGATCTTTCGTACAACCATTTGACCTCACATTTGGTCTCCCTGCGATCCTACAAATATGTCGAACATCCCGGGGATAATCATTTCTGTTCGGGAGTCATCATATCAGAGCGTCTTGTCTTGACCTCTGGCCACTGCATCACAAAGTGAGGATGAGGAAATCTGTCCCTAACCTAAACTATATCTTAGCCTTTAAGCAACTTTTTTCCCTAGCAAAAATGGTCTCCTGATGAATGCGCGACGCATTAAATTAGCCTTCTGTGCGCCCCTGCCCGATGCAATCGATAAAAGTGAGCAAGTGGTCCGCATCGAGTCCATGGTGTTGTATCCTCTGTATGAAAGGAAGAAACAGGACGATTTGGGTGTCATTAAACTGAGGAGAAATATATGGTTCAGGGGTCATCATTTGGTCAGTGTCAGCATTGGCTCGGACGAACTGGATGTGGGCAAAGATTGCATAGGCATTGGTTGGACCCTAAAAGATGGTGTATGTGCCTGTCTATGTATCTCTAAGATATAACTAACATCTAATAATATCTATTCTTAAGCGTCGCAACATAAGAGCCAATCCCTTGCTCGTGGCTAATGTGGAAACCAGACCCTTTGGGGAGTGCCTTAAACCCAATGATCTGCAAAGGAATGCCCATGCAGAGAGTGAATATCTGATGTGCCTGAAAAACACTGATGCCCACATTTGCATGTCCGATATTGGTGGCCCCATTTTCTGCAATGGTCGTCTCTATGGCCTGGCCCTGGGTGGCATCAATTGCTCGGATCAAGATCCCATATTCTTCAGTTATGTGCCGTATTATAATTCATGGCTGGAGCGTATAATCTCACAGGGAGTGCTGCTGCTACACAAAGTGCGGCTCCAGCGGTTCGTTGCCTTGGCTCTCCTCCACAACTTTCTCTCAAGGCAAATGCATAGCTGAAGACCTCTCATTTTCCCCTACTCCTTGAAGCGATTTAAGTACTTCCAGCCATAGATGGAGAGCCCTTGCCGTGAACAAAACTTTCGCCAGTGGTAACCAAAAAAAAAACAAAAAGGCAACTTCCACACCTGTACCTGCGCCTCTGTTTGCCTTTTGTGCCACGTGTGGCAAATGTCACGTTCACTTTTCACTGTTTCCCCCCAAAAACCAACCGCATTGAACTTTCCTTTCATGTTTCGCTTGCTGCAATACTTTTTCAAAGACAAAAACTTAATAAATTTTGTACATAAAACATGATTCATTCAGGCCCCCCCATAAATAATAGAAAATTGCTTCTTTGGTCAAAAGTAAAAGGACGCGACACGGGCAACAACCCAATCATTATTAATAGCCACGAAAATCGAGCCAACTAACAAAAAAAAAAAAGTAGGAGAAAAAGATACACAGATATTGTCCAGAAGTTAACAAAAAAAAAAAAGGAGAAAAAAACCAGTTGTTTTTTTTTCTTCGTCATAAATCAGTAATAATTATCGCTCTCCAATTGCTCTTTGGCCTACCGAAAAAAAAGAAAAGAGAAGCTGATAAATCGATGCTGATAAAATGAAAATTACCCAAGAAAATGGTATACAATCCATATTGAGACCTCATATGGTGTGTGTGTGTGTGTTTGATTTTCCTTTTCATTTTGCTGAAATTGCATGCCGATTTGCGGCAGACAGCAGCATCCAGACGTCAGACATGTGCTGCAGTGTGTGCCTTTCACTTGGGCCCTCTACTCTACATCGAAGCGTTGGAGAGAGAGAGAGAGAAGCTTTGGTTTGGGACTATGGAACGATTTTAAAGAAAGGTACAAGAAAGTTAAAGAAAAACATAAACAAACTCTGGATGTTGTTTTGGGAAAAATAATATCATGAAAAATTTGTTGATCGACTTATAAATATAGATCATTTACAATAATACTTTACATGCCTTTGCCTTCGAAATACCGAAAGTAAGCTAACAAAACAAAACTTAATTTTTATCGAATTAAATAAATATTGAAGTGCGCAAACAACAAATTTTCTTCTTTTATTAATATCAAAATAAGTTAAGAAGCATATTTATTTAATATTCGGGCACTTTACATGAATGCTCCATTAGCTCTCATCAGCCAAACCAAACTATTAGCCCAATTTTAAGCTTTAATCCCAGTGTTAACCCCATTGTAGGGGACCCAAAGGAAACTCCCAAAAATCAGAATTTCCCATTGAAAAATCAAAATACTCGAACACAACAAAAATTTTAAGTAAAAATCACGTTCCACCTAAAAGACGCTAACGTGGCCAAAATGGAAACAATAGCCATACATACACATACACACAGAAAGGGGGAGGGACGAGAAGGAGAAGGAGAACGAAGGCGTGTCCAGATTGTTAGATATTTACTCGATGGCAAAGCAAAGTTGATTTTTATTGAGGGTTTTCTCGCAAAAAGGAAGGCATTAAATTAAATCTATTTGTACAATTTATAGAGGGGAAAAAAATTGAAGTGAAATGATTTCTATGGCCACACACGAGCCAGCAACAGCAACAGCTACAGCAACAAAAACACTTTAAGTTCTTGGCGGTTCGGGGGTCGGTCGGGTGCTGGTGCGGTGGCAACGTTTCCGTTGAGGCATGACCACTGAACTGGACAACAGTTCATGCCCACAAGGCGAAAGCTGCAAAACTGCAGACATGGCATCAAATAAAGCACAGCACTGGAGCACTGGAGCACTGTAGCACTGGAGGGACGGACGAGGTATATCCAGCCGAGAATCCAGTAACAGCAACAACAACAACAACAACAGCATCTGAACCCGGAGAGGATGGACCATGTTCCGCCAAATATTTCGCTTGCAAGAAAAAAAAAAAGAAGCTAAATAAATAAATATCCCAGGCACTGCACAACAAAAAAAAAAAGAAAGAGGAGATGCAGCAGCAGCGAAAAAGGGACTTGGGACATGGATAAAAAATAGATTTGCCCTGAATATACACCAAAAGGAGATGTGGGGTGGGGTGGTGTGCGAGGGCAGTCTGTGTGTGTGTGTGGGGGAGTATCGCTGCTGGAACGTATGTCGACACAACGTCTCGTCTCGAATGTTACCATTCGGTTCCAGCGTTTGTTTTCATTGCTCTGTGTGTGTGTTAGTGTGAATCTGAATGTGACATTGTCCAGCTTCAACTTCAACTTTTTCCCGCGCGCCACAGTGTGTTGCATTGCCCCCACCCTCCCTTCAAACTTCGTGTACTGTGGCACTTTTCGATGTTAATACCCCTTTAATAGGGTACCGTTATATAGGGGTATATTGTTTTACTTTAAGAACAACAATTTGTATCTAAGATATGACAAGAAGATTTAATACAAAAATTAAGAAAGATATTTGCCTACCCATGCAAATCAATTAAAGTATAAAATAATGTATAGTACAGCCTGAACAACCTATGATATCCACAATTATATTCATTGGTTAATTTGGTGGTTAATTTCTCCACGTATCTCCCAAGTGTCATCCAAAAATGGATACCTTTAAGGTAGCTACACTTTTAAAGGAATTTCACAAAATTTGTTAGAGCTAAAAGAGAACTTTATCTAGCGAACTATAAGTAGAGGGTACTCCCAAAGTCTCAACATTTCCCCATAGCTTTGCATCTTGTTTATTTCCCTCGCTTTTTGTGTTGAGGGTGTGAAACGATTTTCTGCTGACTCTTGAAATTCCAAGCTGCAGCAAAACTTCTCCATTCTCCATTCTGCCGCAAGGGATTTAGTTTATGCGGTGGTCTGCTCGCTGGTCCTCTAGCTTTTTGCTTTTTGCTTTTGCCACATCACTAAGTGGTTTCATTGCGCTACAAATTCGAGTGTGAATGCAAACAAAAAAAAAAACGAATAGAGTAAAATAAAATACCAGCGTAAAAAAAAGGGAACAGAAATCTCTCACAACTCAATTGTCAAAAGTAAAGGCGACAATTCAGGGGCGGTCCGCATAAAAAAAAAAAAGAAAAGAGTTTCAAATTACAAGCAGCAGCAGCTGCATGACCCGCTTTTTAAAGACTGCTTCGAAATGAATGCAAAGACTGGAGGAACAGAGAAGCGAATGCAAATAACCGAAAAGACGGCCAATGGATTGGCAGGCTGGCAGGCCGGCAAGCAGTCAGCCCAGCCATCTTATGGCTGTTGATTTTCGTACCGTTTCCGGCTGACCAAACAAAACTTCACTCAGCCATCCAGTCAGTCAGGCCGGCCAGCCAGCCAGCCAGCCATCTCCATTGGGCCCAGACATTCGACCCGTCAAAAGGCAAACAAAAAAAAAAAGCGCAACGGAATCGAAAAGAAATCAATTCGCTTTTGCGTTCAGGCTGCAGCTGCATGCAGTCGAAGGCGCAGGCCGCAGCACTCCTCCCGCTACTCCTTACTGGAGTTTCCTATTATGAGTGGTTGTTGCTGCTGCAGCTGGTGGCTGTTGCATGCCGCCTCATGTTTATGCCAGAATTTGCAATTTTGTGGCTTTCATTTACAGAAATTAGTTGCAATTGGGAAAACTGTTGTTGTGGAGCTGAGCAGATCTGTTGGTAATGCGAGCAATTTGCCAAAGTGTGTTGTCTGCCCCCAAAAGCCGCAGAAGAACAACAAATCAATTGATCAATGGAGGCTACCGATTTGGAAAAGCCTTTTGGCCAAATATTATTCCAACTTGTTGGAAAACAATTCAGGAAAAGCCAGGGAAATTTGTGGTCTGAAACAAGGGAAACATCTTGAAATTAGTTCAGAGAATTTAACGTGAGTATAATTCTGGGAAATTTATTTGAGGCAAACCTCCAAAACATGCCTTGATTTAAGTGGAACTTAAATATAATTTTAAATACCTATCCCAGAAATAAACCCATCCCTAAGCAACATTTCCCCGAAAATATAGAAAACTCTTTGGGGAAAACCTCAACAGCATTTACCAAAATGAAACGTCAAGAACATTTTCGGGAAAGCAAACACACAAGCTCAAACCTTTTTCTGGCTTCACACAAAATCCACAAAATTAAGGAGAGAAACCATTTAAGAATTAGTCTTGGAATCACTTTTCAGAAATCACTTAGGCATTCGAATACTCAAACCAAAAATCTTTAATCCCAAAAGCCAACTTAAAATTGCATTATTAATTAAAGCCGGAAAACGTTTGCTCCTGATTTTCCCAACACCCAAAAAGCCAGAGACAAACAGAACTGAACAGAACAGAACAGAAAAGAAGAGAAACTTCTGTTCTCTAAACGTTTAATACTTGGAAAATTACTCAAATGTCTTAATTGGCAAATAGAAAATGCTTGGAAAATGCGACTCTTGGCCTGGCCTCTCGTCTCCCCATCTTGCAACTTGAAGAACTTTTTGCAAATGCCATTGCCGCTGCGTCTGCTGCTGTTGGGTGGAAAAGTTTTTTACGCAAGTGCCGCCGCCGCCGCCGCAGCAATGAGAGTGGGAAAAAATGTTCCACAGTGGAAGAAAAAAAAAAAAAGAATAGGAATATCTTAATTGAAACTTAATGAGAAAATGCAGCCGCATTGTTGAGAATGGAATGACATGACATGACTGGGTGGCCGGGGGAATGGCGGGGGTTGCATGCGATGCGTTTCTTAAAGATGCAAAAACGTGCAGGTGCTTCGGATGCTAAATACGAGAGTCATTTCGGTTGATTGCCGAGAGACATTAGCAAAGATACCTGGAGACCTCAGCACAGACTAGGGGAACGTGCCGTTCCGTCCGCAGATACTCGAGCTATGCGACACCAGATAGAGATACTTAACAAAGAAAAAAACATATAGCTAAACAACAACAAAAAAAAACACTGAAATACAGCCACAAAACGTTCAGACACAGCTCCAACTGTGAATCATTTACCAGAGACAAAAGCAAACAAAAGCTACCACGTAACTTCTCATTTACCAGCCACAAGATACTTTTGTGCATTACACAATAATCTTAATCTCATATAATAATCTCTGTGGGTGTGTTTTGTATCTTACAGATGCGCTCACTGCTGGCCAAGTGAATGTGGAGCCCAACACGGCACTCCTAAATGAGGGCGATCGCACAGAGCTGCTCTGCCGCTACGGACGGACCATCAACTATTGCCGCATCGAAATACCTGGCGAACAGAAGGTGCTCAATCTCTCGCCGGAATGGAGCAAGACACCAGGATTCACGTACTACGGCGCCGGGCTGCAGGCCGGCCAATGCGGTGTGACCATCGAGCGGGTCAAGGCCAGCAATAATGGCCAGGTCAAGTGCAGTCTGGGCGTCGAGGGTGAGGAGCTATCAGGCACCATTGATCTGGTGGTGGCATGTAAGTGACATCCGATAACTATTTATACATAGATAATTTGGCAAAGGAAAGAAAGATTCTTTCATTTATATGTGGCACGCATCATGCAGCAGCTACCCTCGGTCTGCCACACTATCTTCATCTATAATTTCCCGCTCTTTACTTCATTTCTAATCAACGAATTCTTTCCATTTATAGTGCGTCCCCAGCAACCCATCATTGAACTGATCTCGAAGTCCGATCGCGAGGGCTACTTCGCCGAGCAGACCCAATTCATGGCCCGCTGCAGCGTACGCGATGGCCGCCCACCAGCAAACATCTCCTGGTACATTGACAATATGCCCGCCAACAAGCAAACGAGCCAGCTGCAGGTCATCTCGACGCCAACCAACGACAATGTGGAGCTGTCCACCTCAGTGCAGGACATCCAATGGCATTTGTCGCCCGAGGATAGCAACAGGAAACTCGTGTGCCGTTCGCATCACCAGACAGATCGCGAGTCGGTGCCCCCACAGGAGGCAGCCTACATCATCAATGTGCGATGTGAGTAGAGAAACGACAGGGAAGCAGACTTTTCCCATGATTAAAGCAATCTTTTTTTTTTTATTTGTATCTTTTAGATGCACCCGTTCATCAGTCAGAGGCCTCTGTTTATGGATTGTATTTGGATCATACCGCCATTGTTAATATCACAATTCGGGCCAGTCCCTCGCCAAGGATTGAGTGGACCATCGAGGGGCTGGTCGTCTCGCAAGGCCGCACCGAGGGCCGCTATTCGGCGTATGAGCCACAGTATCTGGGCAACGATGAGTACAATGTAACGCTGGCTATCGCCGGACTGACGCTGGAGGATACGACCAAAATCTACAATCTGCGTGCCACCAATGCAATCGGTCTGACGGACTACCAAGTGCGCATCAGTTCCTCGAGCAAGCCGCCCAGCAATAGTCTGGATGTGGCTGCCATTGTGGGCATCGTTGTGGCCGTAGCTGTACTGGTTCTGGTCGTACTCCTCGTTCTGTTTGCCCGTGCCACAGGCAGATGGTGCTTTGGCGGTAAGTCCCCCCAATGGAGAAATAATTTTCCCATTCTTTATTTCTGCTTATATCGTGTGGGTGCAACATGCAACATCATCATCATTGGCCTTCGGCAATCAGCATCATCATCATCATTATTGCCTCATCATCAGCTATGCTAACAATAATTTCTGGCTTTAGGTCTTCCCTTAGAAACAATCACTCCCCCACTCCACACTCCACACTTATTCATTCATTCATACAATCCTTCCCCCTTCACATGTATGTGCGTGTGTGGGGGGGCATGCCACAAGCCGCTTGGCTGTTAACTTTCGACACATTGTGCGGCTTTTAAATTTTAATTAGCGTTAACCTACCAGAAGGAGTAGCAGGCAGCCCTAAAAACTCATCTAATTAAAAAAATTTCACTTGACGGAGGGAAGTTTTCAGTGGAAGAAAATGGCAGGAAAAACTTTGAGCGAAAGACGTTGAATGAGGGAAAAATACTATGTGATGAAACATGCGAGAATAAAAGATAAAAATGGGGGAAAAAATAAAACTAGAGAATAAAAAAGGATTCTTACTTATAGAAAAAAAATTTTCCTAAAATCAGAATTATAAAAATAAAAATATATTTTAGATTTTTTTGCAATCAATGGAATGGAATCAAATAAAAGTTTTCAAAAATTAAAAATGGTGAAAAAGCTTAAAAATTACATTGGTGGAAACAACACAAGAAAATACATATTTTAAATAATTGAAATCTGTTTTATGAAGCTTTAGAAAATTTATAAAAAAAAAATGTTTCGCAGAAGAATATCCCAACAAATTGAAATATTTTTATAAAAACAAGCAAATTCCCACAAAATGTCCAATTAATTTATAGTACAAATTCAAATTAACCAAAATGTCTATAAATCGAATATTTATCAACATTATACAGAACAACATTATAAAGAAACAAAAATGGAAATAAGTTTAAAATAACCCAAACAAAAAAAATATAGCATAAGTACTTGTATTTCTCTAAACACAAATTGTAAAAACTCTACACACAAAAAGAGTCTACAAAATGACAACAACAAGAAGAGCTAACAAAAATTGGTCTCAAAAAATCTCAAACCAAAAATGTACCAAAAAATTATATTTCTAAATTTGTTACTTGCTTTTCGTGTTTATAAATCTCTAAAATGTAATCTTTAATCTCTCTGTACTATCCGCTTTTCTTTTGGTAAATGGACTAACAAACAACAAAAAAATGAAAAAACAACGAAAATTCGTTGTGGAAATCTGGAAATTTGGCTTCTTCTTCGAGCGACAAACTCTCTCTCTCTCTCTCTCTGTACGCTCTTTCACGCTCTCTCTCTCACACTCGAAGCTAAATGTTAGTTCTTGTTGTTGTTGTTCTTTGCAGGCGCCACCCTCAATACGGACATCAGTCCCGATTCGGAGGCCCAGATCCATCCGGCATTCAACGACGAGGAGGAGCTCGATGGCCAGGATAATGGCGATGAGCATATCGATACCACGCAGCAATCGGAGGAGGCCACGCCCCCGGTGACGGATAAGCTGGAGGCCCAGAAGAAGGCAGATCTGAAGAAAACAGCAGCGGCCACAGCGGCGGCAGTGATAGCCGCCGGCAACGGAAGTCAGACGCACTTGAATGGCAGCGGCACGGCAGGGGGTGTGGAGGCACCAAAGCCACCAAATACATCTGTCTAGGACTCCCTTGGGACTCCTCATTTCGGCCAGTTAGCCTCTTAGCATCCCCTTAGCTCTAAGCCAATGGGAATTGAAAACCAGAAACAAAATATGAAACTTTTTGCTCTCAAATATAAAGAAATAATCTCAAAAAGGCACAACAAAAAAATATAAAAAGAAAAACCTTACCTTAACTTAGGACAATATTTTTTTAAGGTGAATCTCACATTTCCACAACCGTCTCGAAATTCTAAAAAAAAAAAGAAACATACAAAATTATTTAATTTTTGTAAAATATTGTATTTTCGAATATTAATTTTTGTCCTTATATTTATTTAAGCTCTAAACCTGCCAGCATTTTGCATTTTTTTTCAAACTTGGCTTGTAGAAAATATTCGATTTATTATAATTTTAATTTTGAATTTTCTGCTGTTCTTTTTGTAATTTTAGTAATTTGTAAAGAGAAAAAAAACAAAAAAGAAACCATACAAAAACGAAATATATATTTTTAAAGTTAAAAGAATACACTTGGATGTAATTTTGGGGTACTATTTTTTGATAGCTAATGATGATGATGTTGCCTTCTCCCATACGCTATTTTCAATCATCTTTCATTAATCATTTAAAAAAAAAAAAAACATCTTTATATTAAAATCGATTATAAAACAGATTTCTCTCGTATTTCCTTTCACAGGTAAATCAATCAAGACGCCCACAAATGAGACGTAAGTACAGTAAGCCCTCCATTAGCTAACAAAAACATATGTCAAAATACAAGTGCAAAGTGCAAGAAACGGGGTCCAGGCCATACATTGATCCACAACTAATCCCCAAAGTCGGTATCTGCTGGTTTGCTTTCTATGTTAATTTTCGATACCCATTATTTCAATATAACCATTAATCAATCAATCAATCAATCAAATATGTATCTCGTATCTTGCGTAGTTCGGATGTGTGTTTGTTTGTCTATTTGCATGCGTCTCTCGAGTGGCTTTAATTTTCAAGTATTTACTGTAACCAAAAGCAATCATCAATCATCTCTATAGAGAGCAGCTCTCTCATACATCATCATATATGTAGTACATCTCTTAGGTTAGTCCATAGATCATTTTTCTTAGTAAAAACTTAACATAAAAAAATACATGCATACATACAACCACACATACACACTCACAAACGCACACAAAACATTGGATAAGTCTCTCAAAATTAAAAATTAAATACATATACAAAAAATAAATAAATAAAAAATTTCCCAAAAGAACAAAAAATCACCATACCTTGGCCAGCCCTGAGTCGGTCTGTTTACGTCCGCAAAAGCCAATAACAAAATAAACATTCTTTTGAGGCGCGCACCGCAGTTGTTGGACACCCCAGGAAATTACCGAAAATTCTTCAAATACTGATAACTCGTTGCAGTTCGCTCCGTTTTATATTAAATCTTACGAAAATATTAAAAATTACAGAATTGACAAAAATTAAAAAAAAAAAAAACAAGAATACCACACAAAAAATCCCGTTATTCACGCTGTCACACACATGCATACACACACAATCATACACTTAAAACAAAAACACATTCACTCGCTCGTCTTGTGCTGTCACACGCTCGTATGCTCGCTAGCTCGCTCTCGCTCGTTCGTTTGCCTCCACTCGCTAGTTAGCCAAACACAAACGTTCGTTCGTTCGCTAGTAGCCCGCTCTCTATATCTCTCTGTCTCGCCCACTTGCTCTGTTTGTTTCTCTCTCTCTTACCCCCGCCGCCCACTCTCTAAACCTCATATAAACCTGTCTCCGTCTCACGCATTTACTAAACAAAAATGTCAAAAATGTCTCGCAGCTGTACCACTCGTCATTCAACCAAAACAAAAATAAACATAGAGTTTTAGAGTCACTTTGCTAATGCATCATCAACAAACAAAAATAAAAAAAAGCAACAACTAAGAAAAGAAAAAAACTTCTTGCCATGTTTTGTCTTCTTCTTTTATACTACTTTCATATGGACAACAACAACAAACTGTCAAACAAATTCCACAAAAATATGAACTCCCACTCCCCCCGAAATATTTCTGAAAACTTTCGTTGCACAACACAGCGACGGGCACAGCGACAAGCAGCTCGAACTGGGTGGCCTAAACCAGCAACATGGCCAGAATGTGGCCCTCCTTGAGACCCCCAATGGCATCACCCTGCTGGGCGCGAGCAAACTTAAAGAACACAATGGAAACAGCAATGGCAATGGCACTACCCAGGAGCGTCTATCCGTGGAGAGGCGTCACCACAATGATGAGGATGATTCCTTCGAGTATGCCACCGATCGCGAGAGCAGCGTCTATAATCCCACTACCCGACCACTGCGCAGTGTCCTAATGAGCCAGGCCGGTGGACGCAACTCTCGCAGCTCGGCCAGCTCGGAGACGGAGCCACTGGCCACCGAAAATTCAGATCTCCTGCAGAAAGGCAACCAATTGGGCATACCCGAATCGCGTTTCGCCCGCTGGCTGCCAAAGGACAAACTGGAGCTGCTCGAAAAGCAGGCAATGCTGCTGTCGGGACGTGGCAAGGCAATGAATGCGGCGGCGGCATCACCACCACCAGCCACACCACCAAAGCCACAAAAGAAAGTGCTTGCAACACCAATAGAGACGACAGCGACAACAGCGACAACGACGACGACAATGGCGACGCCAAAACTGCCACAGGAAACGGAAATCTGAGAATGCAACTGTGTGTTTGTGCGCGTGTGTGTGTGTCATATTTATTTATTTTCTCCTGCTTTGAGGCACAGGAAATGCGGTCGCAGGACTAGGGACTGGGACAGTTTTGTAGCAGTGTCAGCAGGGATGCCCCAGAGATCGTTTGGATGGGAAACCCTCTGAAAGCGCTGAAGTTTACAGGGTATACGATTAAAAATACTCTTATAGTATTTATCCAGCCAATAAACATACGATAATCCTTTATTTTGAGATTGCAATTTAATCACAGATCATAGATCGGAGCTCCCTCTCTTTTTTCATAAGTGATCTAAAAACTCAACAACAAATATGTGACATGTAGTCAATAAAATCCTTATTTTTCTGACAACTTTCATAGCAGTGACTCTCCAGTGTTCTCTTAGATCAGTCAACACACTCCTTTAAAAAATCGAGATTAATACAACATTTCATTGGAAAAGAGCTCGTGGCTGATATGAGTGCCTTAAACATTCACAAACTCCTAAGAAACAATGATATTTAGCATCAAATCTAAAGAAATAAACTGTTGAAAGTTTCAACTCGAACCTGCAGCAAAGAGCTTAGTGCCTTAGATATGAATTCTCTCTCATATAAGTTACCGAACCCAGTTTTTCCTAAGACTTCCTTCGTCTTCCCAGTTATTTCCCCATGATTTTCCCCCATCAAAACCCGCTACAAAACTGTCTCCAAATGTAGGCTATAAGCTTCATGACGAACAACGAAGCAAAGATACATATATACAACAGATACAGATTCATAAAGCATGAACATTTTTTGTAGGCATGAAATTAAGGTATTATCGAATAATCGTATCATTGTATAATCGAAAAACCGATTGCATGACATCAACGAAACCGTCATCACACACAAATATTTACTGTAGTTACGCGTACTGGTAGGTTGTACTGTAAAAGTCATGTGCAGTGTGTTCACTGTAAGAGCAAAAATTAATTATTATTTTTAGTTACTTTTTGGTTCATTTTAAGTGGAGAAAATTGTTTAATTTTTAATTTTCTTAAACTAAAACAAAAAAGCTAAGCTGTATAATGTAGGAACTTTTGATAAAAGTTTATTTTCCTTTTTTATACCAATAAATATTTAATAAATTAACAACAATAAAAATGCAATTGTTCAAATGTTAGACAAACAATGTATTTTCCTATGAATTTTGAAATGTTTTGCTAGTGTTTGTGTGTGTGTGAAATGCATTATTCTGGAATGAATGCAAAACCCATTTGGAAACCATGCTGGGAAAATTCGAACAGAAGTGGAAATTCCCTCGCTCTCTCCTAACAATTTAGCATTTTCCATAACAATAATACCCCAACCCCGTCCATCCATCCATCCATAGAATGGCATGGAAAACACATTCATAAGCGTATTGAGAGCACACACACACACGGATACACGAACAAATACACACAGAGATTCACACACATAGAACAGCAGCATATACAGGCAGCAGTACTTGTTGAGCCGCCCAGACAGCAGGCAGACATTCAAATGAGGCAAAAATATTTATAGAATATAGATGAAAAACCATTCCAGCGAAATGAAAGCAATTTATGCGCTCAATTTATCCCGTTAACAGCAAAGTGAGCTGGGGAAGGGAGAGAATTGTATGTGGGCTTAGGTTTATATAATTTTAAGGTCAAATTTAGGATAAACGAGGGGTAATATTGTTAGGCAAAAAAGTAAAGGTCACGCCACACCCATTTTAAATATGCCTAGAACACCAATTCGATGAAAGATGCTTTAGAATAGACAGATACAAAGATACTTTTGATGGAATTCACAGAAACTTATAGAAACTTTTAAGCAAACTTCGTTTTAGTTAAAGATTATTTCAGGCGGGTAACATACTCAAAGTTGAAAAAGATAATTTCAATTTAAATAAAAGACTACGAAAAACTTCTTGCTTATGCCGCTAACACAATTATTTGGTTTTAAGGGTTACACATTACAGTTACACATTCGTAGCTATAACAATTACCAAATATACATACCAGTTCTTATGCCACTAACTACCAGACAAGAGAGAGCTTTAACCCACACACACACTCGACTAACCCCAAAAATACACTCACATTCGTTTGGACCGCTTTTTGGGGGAGTATTCTTCCCATTCAATATGTCAACTAAAACCCGACTGCACAACAAAAAATTACATATTTTGACACATATATAAATCTGCTGTTACACGATACGGTTTTCACCGATATGAAACCAATGACATAGCGATTAGAGGAATATCATGAGGAAGAAATAATCCAATCATTCAATTTCTTATGTCAAAATGCTATAACCATTGACATGTACATATGTATATGTAAAAACATTAATTCCTCTCTTGGGGAAATATTGCAACCATGAAAAAATGTGAATGGCATCGGTGGGGAAACCCTGTCGTATAACAGCAGCTTAAGTAGCTAAAGAAAACAAAATACCGAAAAACCCACAACACTCTCATGTCACCAACGAAATCATGAACCCATCCTTCAAAACCACAAAAAAAAAAAACAAACAGCAGCGACACCGAAAGCGCCGACATTAAGGCCACCTCAACCGCCACGGCCACAACGGCAGCCACCACAACAATGGGCGGGATAGGAGTGTCGGCCACAGAGGAGTCATCGACCAACAACAGCAATGAGCAGGAGACACAGGAGCAACAATCACAACAGCAACAGCAGCAGCAGCAGCATAAGAAGGCCAAGAGCTTGCCAGCCTTTGCGGTGGCAATATTAAAGCGTTTCCATGAGAAGGATGCAAGGAAAAATAAGGACAAGGATGTGGAGACCACGGCAGAAGCAGCCCTGACCCTGGAAAATGAACAGGATACGCCGGAGAGCAATGCCATCGATGGCAATGACAATGAACCAAAGGTATAACCACCCAAGAAATGTCTCAGATTCTCAGAGTTTAAAGAACCATTTCTTCCCAAAAAACTTTCCTTTTCAAGCCCCTTCCTATATATTCCACTCTTTTTCTGAATTCCTCTCCTTTTATTCCCCTCCTTTTATTCCTCTCTTTCACTCTCTAATGTGTGCAAGTGTGTGTGTGTGAGCGAGATGTATCTATATCTTCAATAGCAAATATTCCGCTTTTGGCTGCAAAAAAAAATTACTTTTGTATTAATTTACTTTTTGCTATTTTTATGCTCACCAAAAAACAAATTTTCTTTGCTATTTTTTTCGCTCTCTACGCATGCATAAACTGTAATGTAAAAACTATATATTTGTACAACTGTTTGTATATATATTGTATGCAAAATAAAGGCTATAGTTTGGCAGAGCACATCACCAGTGTGGACTTTTAAGTAAAAACAAACAAAAATCATAATGAAAAAAAAAAAGAAAAGGTATTGCAATGAAAACCCTTTAAAAATACTCCCATATCAATTTCTGCTTGAAATATATACATTTTATGAGTGGAAACTAATTAATTTTTTGTTGTATCACAAACCTATCCCCAGCAAGACAAACAACTCGTCTATGCTGAACTTGTACTAAAGCCAGCGAATGAAACAACAACAACAACACCTGCAGCAGCATCTACAGGACCTGTCACCGCCACAACACCAAGCATCGAAGGAGCTGGTAAAAATTCCACGGAATATGCAGAAATAGTCTATGTGCAAAAGCCCGCAGCCACAGCCGATGGCAAAAAGTAATCTCTAGCCCTAAAAATCTTGCCCCTGTGAGGCTGAAAACAAAAACAAACAAAAAAAAAATCTTAAAGCACAAAAAGCAGCAGCAGCAAAAACACACAAACAATAACACACAAAAACAGAACCCAATGCAACACATAAACATACAACATAAACCACTTCAAAAATAAAAAAATTAACATTATAAAATTATGATTAATAAATGAAATCTTACAAGTGGTTTTTCAAAAACTTCTTCGACGTGTGTGTGTACTAAATAAATCTAAAGAAATGTAAAACTAAAAAAAAATACAAAAAAAAACATAAACAATTAATGAATCTCTGCACAGAAAATCTTGACACAAGACACACCCTCCCCCTTTCACAATATATGGTTCCCCCTGTCCACAAATAAAATAAATCAAATTTACAAGAAGAAAACAAATTTGCAAAACAAAAAACAAAATAAATATAAATAAAATTTACATAAATATAAAAAAAAATATATAAAATAGGCAAGAGAAAAGCATTTTGAAAAATCTCAATTATTTACATAAATGTCTCGCATCTAAGCTAAAAAAATATGTAAGTTTAAGGCAAAAACCACACACAAAAATTAAGAACAAATTATGCAAAGAAAAGAAAGGAAAAAAACCCTTAAGAAACCTCTAAATTATTTCTATGCCACTTTTTTTTAATACAAATTTAACAGCCAGAGCAAAGCATTTAAGCAAAACAAAACAAAAAATTACTTCTGGAATGAAAAATATAAATCTCCTGCAAAATTATTTTTTATTACACATAATTCATGGATTTCTTTGTCTCGATTTTCCATCCATTTTCCATTCAACACACAACTGGCAGCAATTAATGTTATTATTATTTAATGCAATTTACGCAATTATGATTATATATTAATGGATAATTGATTAAGTTAAGTGCATAAATTAATTATGTATTTTCATGATGATGATTGATTTTCGTATTCAAGTATTCTATAAGTTATAATTTGTACAATATTGTAAAGTTAAGCGCGAACCATGAAAACTTTTTTGAATAAAATTCTTTACCAATACGAAAGTGTGTCTTGTTTTGTTTTAATAAAAGATGAATGGAAATTTAAGCGTTGCAAAGGCTGAATCTGGATCAGCATCTCATAAGAATACTCCTGAAGGTGCCACTTCTGCAGCAATTAAATCGAAAGGTACCAAGGTCTTCACAGTGTAGCAGTTCAGACACAATTGAATGTAGAAATGTACTGTTGATACTTCCCAGAATAAACATAGCCATGAGAGCCTCTGAAAAGGTCGACGGTAATTGGTAAGATTGTTTTTCTTAGAAGACTCTTAAAAAGTATTCCAGGAAAAACATTTTCATTCAAAGTTAAATTTTAAGAAGCCTTTTATTTACTCGAGAAACCACTTGAAATAAATTTAGGAACAGAATTTTATTTGTAAATGTTCACGAATAGAAACTGCCATATATTGGGGAAACCTTTGATTTGTTCCAGGAAAGCCTGTGCCATAAATTGAGGGAAGCCATTTTCTTGACTACTTTATTTCAATTACTCAAGGAAAGCCTTTCCAAAAATTTTGTTTGCAAAGTTCCTCAAAAAAATTTACTTAAAAGTGTTCCCGCAGGCGTGTACCTAACTTCGAACAGTCAGCAGCACTAAAATCCCAATGGCAATGTCAATGCAACATGTGTCTGCAACAGCGCACAAGGCCCCACAAACACACACAGACATTCGTGGTTGTTCGGATAATAATTCTTCAGATACACAACTACTCGAACTTTGTAGAATTTTAATTGTTTAATTACCGATATGTCAGTATGTGTTGTATGCCTCTGAGCA